GGATTTTCAACTTTAATAGTATGACTAATATGTACAGACTTAAAAAGAACAGTATTTTCTTTGTTCTTACAGTTTTACTTTTGTTAGCCACACACGTAATTTACCTCATGATTCCTTTTGGTTGAGATCTATAATACAATGTAAAAATTGTGTATTGCTGAAAATGTAAACACTCCAATTTCAAGTAGTTTTTTTTTTTTCTGATTGTTTTGCTCTTTTAACTTATTAAAGTTTAAAACTTTTAAGTACAAAAAAAAAAAAAGGGGGGGTGTGTGAGAGTAACTACGAGCAAGCCTGGGCCACTCTTTGGCACACCAGACACACGTAAAGAATGACAGCTAGTAATTTCAGTGTATGTACTTAAAATGTTCAGTATTTATTCTCATAAGCACAAATTAAACATGCAAGTTCACTTTCACTGTGGCTGCTTATAGGTCATGAATATGTTTAAAATACCCAGTTTTGACTTTTTCACTTCTAATACCGGTAATCCAAGGCTGAAATTCTCACATCAACTGTCTTGATAGCTCAGCACACTAAGCACCTGCCTAGGTAAGCGCAAGGACCAAGGTTCGATCCCTGATACCACATGCTGCACTGGCCCTGATCCCGGGCACACTAAGCTGGCCACCAAGACTAGGTGTGGTGACACATGCCAGTAATCCCATCTCTGGGGAGGCTGAAAACAAGCAGCTCACTACAAGTCCGAGTTGTGTAGTGAGACCCAGTACAAAAAAAAAAAAAAAAAAAAAAAAGTATTGTGTATACATCACTTTAAGTGACGCTAATGTACTGATTCAGCCCTTCCTGAGATGAAACCAGACTTACAGGAGATCCCACTAGTAACTCTCACATCCATCTTGTTCATGCCAACAGTCTCCATTGACAAGCTTCCCATAAAAGGATGTAAATGATTCTTGGCAATTCATGCTCACTTTACAACAGAAATGTGGGCAATTAATGGTGGTTCTCTATAAAATATTTATTTTAATGATATTTACATAAAAATAAGTCACCATTCATAGATTTTAGTCTATGTTAACTTGCTTTCATAACTTACATTATGGTTCTTTCAATGTATAATTTTAACCTTCTTTTAAAAAAGCTTTTAAATTTAGAAAATTATGGCCTTTTAAGCATTGTGACAGTTAATTAATGCCTTCAAAAGAAACCCATTACAAAAAAAAAAAAAATTAGTCAGTGAAAATATAGAAGGTAGTTTGACCATGTGTAACTGGAAACATCATTTTAAACCAGAATAGAAAGTCCTTTAGGTGAGGCCTGGCTAATCTGACCACACTCTTACTGGGATGGGTCCTCAAAATCCTTTTTTTTTTTTTTTTTTTTGTATTTTGAGAAATCAAACACAACCTCATTACCAGTGCTCATTTTGTGGGGAAGCGAATTTCCATTAATCTGAAGTACAGCTCCCTAGCTTTTGGTGTACACACTAAGTTTTAAGTTGTGATTAAAATTAACACTAATACATTTCCTAGAAAGTAGCTCAGTACATCTTAACACCTTTCTGGCTGAGGATTTTTATCTACAATGAAGGAAAGACAGAAATCTCTTAGAAGCCACTGTCCTAAGTTTTGTTTCTACTATTAGAATCTAAAAAAGCAACAAAACAATTATTTTCTCTATGTGAATCTATATGACAGAACAGCCTATTTAAGGCATTGGTACAAAAACAGGACAGATTATTAGAGTCTGGCATTAAAAAACTGTGAAGGTTGCAGATTGAACAACAACAACAAAATACACAATACTTCTTCCCCTTCTCACTTCCTTCAGCCTCTTAAAGCCAGGAAATCCATGGGATCTGCAGACTCCATAAGTAATT